GACTGGTGTATATAGTACTGGCACAGGTTGTACCCCGCCTTGTGCCCGATGCTCCCTGGGATAGACTCCAGGTTCCCCATGACCCTGCAAAGGAGTAAGCGGTAGAAGATGGATGGATGGATGGTGTCTATAGTGGTGTCCAAATTGCATTTTGTCTTCTTTAATCAAAGACTAACATATATCTAAAGCTAGCTGGTTTCACACTTTACAGTAGTCATATCTTCTACTACTTCAGGCTATATTCCCAACCATCAATCTACTATACAGCATCTTGTGTCATTGTGATATGGGAACACCACACTAGGAACTCTGCTTTGGGCTTTTTGACCATTGACCTCTACCCTAAGATACTGATGCTCTTTTAACAGAAAGTGCACATGGATATCTCAATGTCCAGGTGGCCAGTCACAGCCTTCGGGATAGGTGTGTCCAAAGTCAATAAAAAAGTCATATATATATATCATACATATTTACACCTGCCTCTATACTTTTCACTTCCACTTCCTTTGGACTGTTCACATCCCAGCTTGGCACAAGGCCAGAAATCAACACCACAAATTTCCCTAAAAACACATCTTGGTCTAAAGCACTTCCTACAAGCAATGTATAATACACGTTTGATTTCCATGTGGCCGCTGAACTGTATTATTTTCTTAACATAGCTAGTTAAAATGAGGTAAAAAAACAAACAAAAAAAAAACAAGGCAGTAAGAGACAGAGTGAGAGGGAAAGTGCGATAATATCTATTATTTCATATGCTCCATCATACTCAATCGTGCTAATCAAAACATGTCACTGGGAATTCACAACAGAGTAAGATTTATTTTGTATTAAATATTCCTTTAAAATAAATAAATCACCTCTTAACAGTATTACCCTCTTGGAAGAAGGGTACTAAACTGTATCATTCCTTGTCACTGAGCTGAGGTGGTACCCTCAAGCATACACCTTTAGTAGCTTTTGTATGTATCCTTTACTTAGAAAGATGTATGTTGTGTACATCTGTACGTTACAATACACGTTTAAAGCTTTACTCTAAAAGGTAATCACTCCAAATTAACTACCATAAAGGTGCACTATTTCCATATGAATGATACATAATTAAGGGAACAAAAGTTACTGAGAAGAAAAGGTATAGCATAGGTATAGGTACAATACCCCATTTTCCTGAGAGTGTGGGCTACATAAAATGAAATACCCAAATAGAAAATGGAATCCTGTTTTGTAAAATGATAAAATGTTTGATTATATGTTTGCATTCCAAATGTTTTCTCACATAAAGTTGCCATTATTAATGAGCTCAGAACTCAAATCGAGGGCAGTTTGAATACACTGGCTGATACAACATCAAAACATGCCAGCCAATCAAGTCACCAGAACCAACACCTCCACCTCCAAAGCTCTGTTTGAGCAGGGCCAAAGAAAACAAAGATGCTTTGTGCTCCAGTGTTTAACCTGTATACGCTGCTTGTTTGAAGGAGTTTGTGCATGCGTGATGCATGGTAAAGAAAGGTGACATGGAGGAAACAAGGGTGGGTGGATTGATGCATGTGCACACGCATGTGAATTTCTACTCAAGTTCAAAATGAGTTCAGATTCCTCAAGTTGCTATTGGCCCATCAGACTTAGCATCGTCTGAGTGGGAACACGCGAGGTAAGTCATCAGCCAATCACGTTGCTTATCACATTTGCATTGACGTGTGTTGCAAAAGCGGCGATATGGCACCCCACCCTATACCCACCCCCAACATACGCACGCAGATACACAGGTTAGTTTTCCGCAGTGGTGGCCAACACCCAAACCATCCTAATACTGCCACCCCACGCCTGAGTCGCGCAACGTATCTTTATCCCAACTCCTTTTCTCTCTCTTCCTCTCTGTCTCTCCCTCCCATCTCTTTCTCATTTCCCTCCTCCAAGCAAATTCAATCCAATTCACACACAAAAAAGCATGCAGGAAAGATAGCATCATTAGGACCCCCCCAAACACACACACATACACACACACACACACACACACACACAACCAAACACACTAACTTCCATAGAGGGCAAACAAAGTTCAGAGTTCATTTGTTGTTCACCACCCTCAGCAAAATGACTGATCCACTGTGTTTAACCCCCAACCCAAGGTGTCTCATTACAGCCTATACACGAAGAAACACAGAAGGGGTCGAGGAGGAAAAATCTCTCAAGTCAGAAATGAACAGAGAAACCTTATATGAATATGAATCTGACAACAAAACACTATAATGACTCCATCATGGGATCAGTTCTATTCTTCTGCACCCAATCCAACAATCCTATACAATGCTAAGCACTCATTCTCGAAATGTTGCACAAAGGTTGCAAGGTTAACAATCTCCCTTTTTTCCAAAGTGTTTGAGCCAGGGGGCATGGCAGAGCATTACATAGAGGTTACGATGGTAAAGACAAGGTAGTGTGTTTGCACATATGAATGTGAGTGTCGTTGACCTGGCTTTGATAGCCAAATGGTGACCCGGCCGGTTCAAGTTCAGTTCATCAGTTCGTGGCATGTTCATTGGAAAAAAAACAAGGGAAGCTAAGACATCATGCTCGATCAGCAGAGCTGCAAAAACTGACACTTGTAGTATCACTTGTAATCATCCACACAGCAAAATCATAGTACTGACTAAACCAATTTACACATTTTATATAAATATTAACTAATAAGACTGAGTATTATTTGTATGCCTTATTTATTTCTGGAAATGTACATAATATGAAATGCAATAGTATAATATGCAAAATTGTACATAATACAAAAAATTACTATTGCTACTACACATCTATTATTTAAGCACATTAAAGAAAAATGTTTTCACAGCAACAATTGTCTTAAAATCCGTAGCTCTCATCACTTTGTTCAAATAAACAGCTTTTCAATAAAATTACTCAACTCCAGTATTACAGGAAAAAACACAGAACTAATCATCCATAGAATTAAATTATTTGTCGCACCATTGACAGGGTGGTGAAAAATCGACACACTTATGAAAAGATGAAAAATTGGTGATAGAGGGTAAATGCAGTTCATGGGTTCACCAAATCTCGTCCTGCACATCACTAGTCTGGTACACCAATACTTGATTATATGTAGAGATATATTTCTTGATTAATGACAGCTAGTGCATTGGTCTATAGGTACACCACACCTTATATGCAGCATGTCTGTGTTGTCAATCTAAAGAAATGGCGGCCATTTTATCAGTCATACTAATGGTGCCGTAGCATCGGCTCCACCCAGCCGAGTGACACCAGATTTGTAACAGGCGACGGGAACAGATGGACCCGCCATTGTGGCTCGGAGGCGAGGCCTGTAGTGCATGGTGCCGTATGCTAATGTGAACTCCACTTCACCTGCACCCCGCCATCTCTGACCTGACCATCACACTCACGCTGGGATTTAGACTACATGCTTCAGTATACAAGCACACACATGCCACTTAACACACTGCAGGTGTGTGTTCATATATGAAATTACTTATGTAAGCTTACTGTAAGGGATTACACACATAGATCCCTGGTGTGTATCAGAAAAATGTAACCGTGTATATTCTTATGTGAAGAATAGCCATGGACGTGGACGCTCTTGCCCTCACACAGATGCACTTCAGAAACAAATGGAGGTTAAAATCGGAGGCAGTGTAGTGGGATGACAAAAAGAACACTGGAGAAAGGAGATGGGTTAAAAAAGGCGGGGTGGCAAATGAATAAATGGGGGTACCTTTGCACACTCCCTCACACACATTACACATGTCAAAGGTAAACTACAGACATGCCAAGCGCACAATGGGTTTGAAGAGGACTACCAATTTGGTTTGTTAGCCACTGGTGGACATGAAAGAGAGATCGCTGTGCTGATATGTTAATGGTGACCGCCTGTAGAATTCTGGGTTTTATGTTTTGGACTGTACATCAGTCTGGCTGTGTGTGCAGGTTATTAAGCCAAGGTGTATTGTTTCCCCCAAGTGGTGACATTGGTGGACTGCTACTTAGAAACACAGCAAGTGTGAATAAGTAGAGACTAAACCTTTCAAAAAAACAAGGTTTTAATCCATACTCATATCTAACCACAAATCAAAGACAGATCCTGTCCATATACAGTTGCAGATTTTTCCACTAAAGATTTTATCCTATTGACACCAATACACATTAGTTATGCGCATTATACAGTAGGTCTCAATAATTTCAAAGCATTTGACCTTGGACTGTAATGTCAAAATGTACACAATGATATTGGGCTTTAATTATATGTCGAAAAATAAATCATTTTGCTGTTTCTACTAGTAAAGGGCTCCAACAGTGGTTTTGAAAATGCTTGGTCCTACATGTTAGCTTCCAATATTCATATTGTTATGTAGAGTGTGTGTTAATGATATCATCTTAGTCAGCTAAGTTAGCTATGACAAGTATCTAAAAAAGACTACCTCTGCAATGTCAGTGATTTGCTAGCAAGACTGTACTGAATGTTAATGGTTTGTGAGCATGACCTATGTGTTAGGGTCTGTGAGCAAAGCTGGGGCAGAGTGGAAAGTGCAGCAGGAAGTGAAGGTTATTAAGAGAATGCTCCAAAGCAGCCACTGTATATCTCTCTACCATCCCCAGTATCACAAGGAGGCATGCCATGGCTTTTGTTAAGCCATCATAATTGAATTTTGCAAAATAATTCACAAAGGTAGCTGCTAATAAACACAGCAGGCTTTTCCTATTTATTAACTCACATTTCAAAAGATCCAATAAATTATCCATCAATCCATTCATCTTCTATAGCGCTTATAACCGGGAACATGGAGGGTATCCCAGGGAGCATGGGGCACAAGGCGGGTACACCCTGGATGGGCTACTAATCCATTGCAGGGCACAATCATATGCACATTCACACAGCCATTTATACAGTGTGACACTTTGGACTGGGGGAGGAAACGGGAGCACCTGGAGGAAACTCCCACAGCACAGGGAGAAAATGCAAACTCCGCACGCACAGGGCAGCATTGGGAATCGAACCCCCAACCCTGGAGGTGTGAGGCCAACGTACTAACCATTAAACCACTGTACACCCATGAAATAAATTATAAGCTACATAAATTATTTAAGTATTATATGCATCAAGAAGCAAAAGATAGATCAATATGTCTTCCGTCTGCTCAACTCTCCTTATATACGGTTATTCACAGAGAGAAAAGAGCAAAGAGCAAATACCTATCTATGATCATGGGTGAGTAGGTAAATGGTAAGGACAGCATCAAAAAGTTCAAATCAGTGCTACTAATACTGTGTGAAATCTCACAAGCTGATCAAATATAAAATAATATTAAAGAAATATGAAATAATACTAGTTAATAATAATTCTAGCACAGAGAGGTAAGCACAGTATAATTATTTTAGTCCTTATATGCATAACTTCTCATTTCCCCCGTCTATCTACTGGTTGTGTTTTTTTTTTTTTTTTTAAACATATTAAATCACTCAAAACTGATGGTCAGAAAAATTACATTACATTTTGACAAGAATGAAGCCAGATACAATCCAAGCCTATAAGTTAAGCAGTTCAGTGTTAATCATCTTTCTCAAGAGTCCAGTAGCAAAACCAATTTTAATTTTTTTATCACTAGTTTAGCACTTTACTACTACAGCCTGGCCCAAAATCTACATGTCAATCAACAGTGTATCTTTAATCATTTAATTTAGTCAGTTTAGTGGTCATCATCCGGTTTGTTTTATCACTGCTCAATTCCTCCTTTTGAATAAAACCAATAAGCCTGCCAGCTAGGGAAAAATAATAAAAGTGTGTAAGTTTTCCATATGGTGGAAATGTCAGGGAATTCGTGCGAGCCACAGCATAATATACAAACGCCTATACAAGTATAATGAGAAATTAGTAAATATATATTTCACATGTTGAACACTTACACAAAATATACTGGGACTTGAATGTAATAGCATCAAGTACAGATAAATATCAAATGAACTGGTAGATGCAGTTTGAGATTGCAAAACAAACACTGTGTGACATTATACTTCAATTCTTTATTGTATTTTGTGCATTTTTTATTAAATCTAAATTGTAAAATATTGAAAATTAACACATAGCGCACAGACAAAGAAGAATCATGTTTATTGCATTTAATAGTATACACTGTGTGTATAAATATGATCAGATATAAGGACTGGAGCTCTCAGAGGATCTTGATTTGTCTGCTTATAGTTGCACATGATTTTGTGGTTTATTAATTTCCAAATTTACAATACTTAGTCAAAATATCAGTAGACAGTACCAAATCATTTTCTGTAAATTTAATTAATTATTATTATTATTATTATTATTATTAAAATTTTATTATTATTATTATTATTAAATTTTTACCCTTACTCATAAATATTTGCATTTTTATATTTGATATATATGATTTCACAGATTTGATAATTTATTAAACAGAATGTAATATTTACAATGAATTTTATATACACAAATGATTTTTATTATTAGTGATATATTATTCATGATAAAAACAACTATTTGTTTGCAATATCCGTAAGTAATGTCAAAACCATGTTCATAAAATATAAATAAATAAATTATGAAAAATAAATTTGAAAAATAAGTAAATAAAAAAAAAAAATTGCATTAATGGCACAGTGGAGAAAAAGAAGAACTAAATTATATTGAATTATATTATTATATATCTGAAAATACTCCTAATGTAAAAAAAAAAAAAAAAGAATCACTGTGTGCTAAATCGAGCTGAGAATCCTGATGTAATTACTGTTTGTTGTGATTCAATTATTTTTGTCAATATTTTTATATCCAACTTATTTTCATTATGTGGGCACCATGCACTGAGAGTTTACAAAATTATGCTAACAAGTCTCTGTATTTTAATAAGGGCGTATACTGAATAGCTTTCAAATGTAATTTTTGCACACTTAACAGCATCAAGCAAGAGCGCACTGTAAGACTAGCACTGTTGCTGAACTCTTGACCGGGGTCGTGGCCTGACCTGTCTGACCCCTGGCTGGTGTGACCTGTCTGCATGGATGACCTTGTTGCCATGACACTATAAGCACAGAGGTCACACACAGAGGAGTGGAGAGTGAGAGACATTTTTGGCTAGGGGAATTCCTACGGCTCTCGCTCTTTTCCCTCTCTTGTCTGAACTCTACATCACCGACAAGTCTGCTTTCTACTTGTGTGGGTACAGAATGGAAACGGAACAGGCTCCAAATTAAATGATAAAATATTAGATTTGTAGCAATGACATCATTCTATTCCAATAATGTCTTTGATTATAGATAAACAAACTTAAATCACAGATGGTCACACCATAACGGCTAAAAACTGAGTATTCTTTATGTCTGCAAAGAATAAACTAAAGAAAAGATTTTTCTAAAACAAAAGATGGTTTTAAAAAGACTGCTAATCTGCTAAAAAAAATTATCAGCAGCAAAGTAATAGCATGGATAAAAGTAGAAATAAAGCCAATAACATAAAACAAAAATAGTTTCAAATACAAAATATGCCAGTGTATTCAACTGTATTTAATTCCACATTACTTGCCCAATAATTTTTTGCACTTTTAGCCATTCTACCTGCCAATAATATGACAAGTCAACTAACGAGAAAAACGGAAAAGAATAATAATATTAAAGGGGAGAGAAATAGAAGGTAAGAGAGCTTTTTTTTTTTAAAGGGGGCGAGAAAAGGAAAGAAACATGTGTGCAGCTTCACTCATTGTCCAGGGATTGAGTTAATAGACTTTAGAGTGCTGCCTTTGAGGTGATGAGGGATTATAGGGCAATCTGGGGCCAAAACCACCCTGGTCTGTGTGTGTGTGTGTGTGTGTGTGTGTGTCCTTGATACCGCTAGTGCAATCCAATGAACAGAGATACAATGCTTAGAACCTCAGAGACATAGATACACAAATACATATTTTCCCTCTATCTTTCACTCTCTCTCTCTCTCTCTCTCTCTCTCACACACACACACACACACACACACAGAGGTCTGTCAGAGGTGCATTACTGCTTTCTCTTAACACTGGCTGTTATGACTAGAAAACTGACACGCTAGGAGTTTCAGTTCACACTCACTCAACAAAGGTAGGTTTGACTTATTAACATGAGCAATTTAAGTCTAAATTTAAGAGGATATTGGCTCAAGTGTCGTAAGCTTTCATACACCCAAATTCCCATAACTTAAACCTAGTTTCAGTTTTCATTAAACCTGCTGGTCTAAACTTGTTTTAGGCCCCGACCTAAACTATGAAGCAACCTATGTTCAACTGCACCTTTATACAATTACAAAATATATATAGTTACAATTACCAATTGTACAATACCCCTGCCCAATCATGTGGAAGCAGCACAATGCATACAAATATGTAGAATCATGCAGATCCAGGTCAAGAGCTTCAGTTGAAGTTCACATCAAACATCAGAATGGAGAAAAAAATGTGATCTCCATGACTCTGACCATGTTGTGCATTCTGAGATGCTTTTCTTTTCACCATGGTTGAAACGAATGGTTATTTGAGTTACTGTAGTTTTTTTTATCAGTACTAATCAGTCTGGCCAGTCTCCTCTGACCTTTTTCATAAACAACAGTGACAGAATTGCTGATAACTGGAGGTTTTTTGTATATGAATTTATACTTCACATTTCTTCCAACTGAACGTCTAACATTGAGTTCACACCTGAATGCATTCCACATTATCATTGCCTTTTCATCCTTGTTAATGTTTGCCCATATTAACAGGTGTTATTATAATTATACTGCTTATTTCCTCAAGTTATAGCTGTTGAACGCTCGGCTTCTTGATGACCAGTTTATCCTCTCACACAAAGACGAACAACCCAAACACAGCACATAAGGTACAAGTGTAAATATTGGCAGGCTATCTCACTCGAGAGGTGCATTCAATCTGGACATGACACACTGATGTGCTGGTCAGTACAGACAAAAATCCACTCAGGCAGACCATTAGGACAACCTGCACTGTTTCTTCCAGATAAAAAGACGGGCAGGAGACAAACCAGACAGCTGTACCTCAGCACAAAGGCCTGATCAGTTCCTAGTGGCGTACTCACCCAACACCCACATTCAGCTTTTATTTATTTGCCTTTGGCTGGACACTGTCCAGCATGCACATTTGTAATTGGAGTTGCTAGCTCGCGCAAGAGGGCCATTAGTTGGAGTGCACAGAGTGTGTGTGTGTGGGGGGAGATGTAAGGTCTGTTAAAATATGTTGTGTTACGACACTTACGAGCTCCCGTGGGTGACCGGGGTGCTGTTTTTTATTGTTGAATCTATTAATCAGTAAATCTACCCTTATAAAGTCTTATTTGTGCTTCATGTTTGATAAATGTGCGGTTCGGTCATTTTCCAGAAATTGTAACCTACTGTTGGAAAGACATACAAGACATTGCAGAGCGGCACAAACAACATGCTCCATTAAGAAAGTATGAAAATCATTCATTTGTGCGTTTACTGACTGCTTATTATATTAATATCACAATGCATCTTGGATTTTTTTCTTAGCACAGCTGCTCCCAGATTAATTCTTCACGTGTGTGTGTGTGTGTGTGTGTGTGTGAGAGAGAGAGAGAGAGAGAGAGTAAACCACAGACATAATAAAAAAGAGGCAAATATTACTTTAGTTACAAGAAAGAAACCATTGAACATTAATATATATATATATATTTTAATATTGCTGGCTGCAAAGTTTATATTAATGGGCTTATTTAAATATATTGTCATTTCTATAGTAACAGCTTACACAGAAACTTGTATAGCAGACTCTCCACACAAAAGAAAGGGTATAACTGACATGTTGAAGTTTTCTGTGAAGAGAGTTTATTTATTCGTCTGTTCATTCCTTTTCATAAGGAGTCTCCGAATGTCAGCACTTTGTAACAGTCAAAGATAAAGCAATAGCAAAATTCGCAGACAAGGAAAGGTCTTCAGGATTTGGACTTTGCTGTTTCTTTGATGACAAGCTGCAGGTTATTTTTTATTATTATTAACTTTGAGAGAGAAAAAAAGGAGTGAGGGATGGAACA